TAACTCTCTTAATTTTGGGATTTATTTTAATTTTTGAATTTATTTTAAATTATTATTTTATTTTTAAGAAACATTTTGTATTTTTAAATTAATTTTTGTAAGTTTTAAATTTTTTTAGTAATTTTTTTTTTTAAGATAATTTTATTTATTTTATATTTACTTTTAACTATTTTTATTTATTTTAATCATTTTTATTGATTTATTAATTAAAATATACTTTTCTTTTTAAAAAAAAAGTGAGTGCCACGTCATCATTTTGACCTGATAGTGTACAGTACCGGTCACAATTTTGACGTGTCAAACAAGTTAGTTAGTTTCAATGTTTAATATGTTATTGAAATTACTTTCATTGTTTAAAGTGTTAGATGTTGAATATCAAGGTTTAAAATGCAAACTTTTGCCAATTTGAGTATTTAAAATGCAATTTTCCCTTTTTTTTTGTTGGATGACTATTTTTTCTTCATATCACATGTCAAATAGAGTTAAGAGGCTTAAGTGATACCACATTTTCAAATTTGTAGAATTAGGATAAGTAGTAATGATAAAAGTTTTTGTTTGCTGTGGCGATGAGACTTCTTTTGTCCAAACCAGTGACCTGAGGGTGCCTTCAAGAACATAAATAATCAAAATACCAGTCAGATTTATAAATTCATAAAACATTAAAAGAAAAATAATTCCATGGACATTTGTTGGTACTGTTTAGGAGATCTCCCAATCCCAAGTACATACAACAAAAGAATTATCCTAAACACAAGAGAAGACATGACTCCTCAGTGATTCTAAGAAGTTGAGAAGAAAGATTTTTTATTGAAATTAAGCTAAAGTGTTTTCCTGGGCAATGACTTAAGATATCTAATGTAATTAATGATAACTATAAGTTCATATAAATCTATGTGGCATTGTTGTTTTCCACGATCTCGATTTATAGATCATAATTTCTACCATAATAGAATATATAAATTAGGAGAAATTTACATATACTATAAGCCTTACAAAGAATAGAATTGCTTCGTGGCAATAATGTTAAGTAATAACCAAACCTAAAGTGAAAACTAAGACCAATATCAACTTAAATTAATTTAAAGTATGGTAAATTTTAAAATACTCATTATATCTAATGTTATTTATGTAATTTTTGAATTTGTATCCCCTAATACTTAATAAAATATTTTTGAAAATGTATAACATCTTCCTAAAGTTTTAGAATATCTTTATGAATATGTAGAATATTTTTTTGGATTTGACTTATATGCATATTTACAAAAAAAATACTAAATAGATAACATTTTCCTAAAATTTATGATTTTTTTTTCTAAATATGTATAATCCCCTTTATATTAAAAAGGAAACATTACAATCTTTGAACCATGACACGTGTCATCACGAGAATCAATTTCAAAAAATTTAGAAAAATAAGTTGGTCCATCTAAACATATAATATACTTTTTATTAACCTAATCATATAATTAATTATTGATATAAAAATATCATTCATTATTTCTTTAAATAAACATACGGAATTACCTAATCTCATAAAAATATATATGATAATTAATGATTTAAATAATAAAGATTTGATAATAATTTATACATCCTCTATTATTTTTGTTTTATATTAAATTTATATAAATAAATTAGACAATCATATTAACCAAACAATAAAAATTGATTTTTATATATATTTTATATTTTAAATTTTTAAATACAAAATATAAATTAATAAACTTTTTTAAAATCTTACTTTTCGTGATCAATGGTCTAATTTTGATTTATAACAAGATAAAAATAATCATAAATTTATATGAGTACGATGTCTTTTTTAATAAATATATATTAAATATACATATATATACATATATATTAATATCATTTAAATTCATTTACATAACATATAAAACGCATAAATCTTTTAGTTTCATAATTTTCATTAAATTTGTTAAAATGATTATAAAATAATAAAAATTATGAAAAATTCCTTATTTAAATATTTGTTATCAATGTTTTAATATTTTGTTATAAAAATACAAATAATCATAAAACCATGTGAATAGGAAAATGATATTTAATAAATAGTCATATTAAAAAAATATATACTATACATCGATATTCATATCATTTCAATTTAATTATGAACAATATAAAAGATAAAAAATATTTTTTGAATTTATTTCCCATAAAATGATTGTAAATAAAAATTACTATTTTGATTATATATCTACACACCAATTTATTTATATATGTAATAGTCACTGACCTTTTATTAGTTTAGTATAAGTAAAAAACGCAAATAAATAATAATACATAAAATTGTATGTATATACAATATTAATTCCACGGAAGGCACGATTATTAATCTAGCATCTTTATAAAATTTAGGAAAACATTCGTAAAATGTTGTATTAATAAATATTAAAATTTAATAAATAGTAAAAGTTGAAGTTTGTAAATATGTACTTTAGAAATGATTTTCTAATATTCCAAAAGATGTCACAAAAATTTAGGAAGACTTTCCTAAATATAAAAAGTTATGTTTAGGAAGTATATTTATATACTTATATGTTTATGAATGCATTTTTGAATTTAAAATAATTTACAGAATTATGCACACAGAGAATGGTTTTCTAATTTTTTAAAAAGATTGGTATCATTTGAAAAACAAAATTTGAAAAGAATATTTGTTTTTCTAATATTTTTATTATTTATTTACTTTTATGTTGTTAAGTAATATAAATAAAATTATAAATAATGATATAATTGTCCTTTTACTCATTAATGTATGTTAGTTTTGGGACTTTTGTCCTTGAATATTATTTAGAGGAACAAAAACTAAAAAAAAATTAAGAGATTTGTCCTTAATTTAATTTGTCATGCTTTACGCATTCTTATAATCACTATTTTTACATCTTTAATTAAGAATTGATTTTTTTTTAAAAAAAATGAATACACACTCAAATTGGAAAGCAATTAAACTTGGGAAAAATGTCAATAAAAATCATTTAAGTCATATCCTGATATCCATAAAAAAATAAGAGTTTAATATACAACTAGATTTTGACTCGCGCAACCGTGCGGGTGTTTGTTTTCGTTTATAGTTAGTTATATAAACATTTTGTTTTCACTTGTAAATTGATATATATTATAGTAATCACATATTTACGATATGTATAGTAAATGTTTTTCAAACATAATAATATTATATAATATGTGTTTTAATCAAATAGATTGTTTAAATTTTTTTATATTATACATGTTTTTCAAACATATGTTTATTTCTTCTTCTATATTTTATTTTTTGTTAGATTTGATATTTCATTTTTAGATAAAATAATAAAATAGAGCTTGATTAAATATTAGTATATTTTAATTTACAAAGATAATATAATTTTTGAAGAAATTTTTGCTAAAAACTAAACTTATAGCTTCATAAATTAATATTATAAAGAATTTTATTAAAAATAAATTTTTAAAAAATTTATTTTTTTAAAACAATATAATTTTGAAAATTTACATCGAAATAAATTTGTCTATTATATATAGGGTATTTTGACCAAAAAAGTATATATAGGGTATAAATTTTGTTAGGGTATATAAATATTCCATATTACGAATATGTGATTTTTGTTAATATATTGTGGATGCATTTAACTATTATTGATATATTTCCTTATAAATAATAGAAGATTCCTAAACTTATATTTATTAACATATTTTGCGTGACTAAGTTGAAAGGTGTGGGGTAATTTATCAAAACCAAATTGTTAAGCGTATCTTTGTTATTATAGATATGATTTTTATAAGATATAATAATGATAAGATTATTAGAAAGTTAATGTAACATGACTTTCGAGTAATAGTCCATTTTATAAAAAAATCACACATGAAGTCAAGTCATGACTTTTGTTTTAATATATAAGACTAGATTTTGACCCGCGCTTGAAAAGCACGGGAATTTTTTGTGATTAAAAATTTATATAATTGGGTTTTGTATTAATTTAAAGAATGTTTTGGGATAAAATCAGTTCACCAAAATTTGTGATGATGATTGTTATTCATTAGATTTTAGTTTCAGTTTTTATTTTTAGATTTTGGTTTTTGGTTTTTAGTTTTTAAGTTTCTATTTTTGATTTTCAGCTTTTGGTTTGGGTTTTTAATTTATAGACCCGCTGAGTTAGTTTGAACTGATATTACTAACAAACAAATCCCAAATAATCGAACATCCAATTTAAAACTGAAAAGATGACAATTTTTTTTTAAAGAAATTTGCAATAGTTTATTTTGTAAATAAATAAAAACAAAAAAGGATAACCTGTTTTTTCAGTTTTTGGTTTTGGATTTTAGTTTTTAGATTTGGTTTTTGGTTTTGCTTTACATTTTTTTTTAAATCAGTAAATTATTTAGGAGAAATAAAACGATAAATTATTTAAAAGTAACCATTGAAATTTATCAAAACAAAGTGATTGTTATTTAAAATAAAAAAATATATTAACATGTTTTAAAGTACATGATTTGAATAAATGATTAATAATAGACAATTTTGTTTTGTTTAAAAATATTAAATACCTTTTGGGCTTGAAAATAATAACTGATTTTTTATCCAGTAAGATGGAAAGTTAATTCAATATTTTTGGAGTTTTTCCTTAATACTAAGTCCAAAAATCAAACCATGTAATTTGTTCTAAAAACAAAAATAAGCCCAACACTATATCCCATAAACAATCATCACTTTAATTTAAGTAATTCGGTTCAGTTAACTATATGACTTGTATTATTTGTAAAACTCTAAAAAGAGTTCAAATTTAAATGACAACTTGTATCAGTAGATAAAAATAATGACTATTAAATTATTTTAGGGAAATTGCCTAATCTACCACTTTCAAAGTACCATATTTCACTTTTATGTTAACCAATTTTACCACTAAAAATTTGATATGCAAAATACCATTCTACCCCTCCACAATTTAATTGTCAAACCTATATCTATTTTCTCCAAATCTAATCCGATGATATCACCGGCGAGCGAAGCTATGGAGGACGAGATTACGATCGAAAACGGTCGGAGTTCCGGAGTACTGCCACGAGAACTTCACAAAGTACTTCACGCCGGCGTTCTGGTCGGATTCGAGGTTTTCCGGCACGTTTCAAGGGAGCATCGCGTGTTACTTCAACACGGGAGTGATGGTGATGGATCTTGAGAGATGGAGGAGTGTAGGGTATACGGAGGTGATAGAGAAATGGTTGGAGATTCAGAAGAATGATAGGATTTACGAGCTGGGATCTTTGCCTCCGTTTTTTGCTTGTTTTCGCCGGGGAAGTAGCGCCGATTGAGCATCGGTGGAACCAGCATGGTCTCGGTGGAGATAACGTGAGGGGGAGCTGTAGAGATTTGCATCCCGGTCCGGTTAGCTTGTTGCATTGGTCTGGGAGTGGTAAACCGTGGTTCCGGTTAGATTCGAGACGACCTTGTCCACTTGATTCTCTTTGGGCACCTTATGATTTGTCTGGACATTCGTTTCTCTGTTACATCTGGGGGTTTATAGTCTCAGCTTCGTACATTCTCTCATCCCCTCACGACAACAATTTATAAGCCTTTATAAAATCTAACGTCATACCACTCAAATACATTAATTCTGTGATTCTAGGTGGCTTGTGGATCACATGGTGGAGCTTGGGTTTTCAAGATCATTATCTGAGTTGATTGGCAGCAATCTCAAGAGATCTGGAGACTCAGAGACATGGGCATTTAACCTGGATTGAGCTATTCAAATGTTCAAGTCTTATAGGTTTCTTTCTCTCATCATAAGAAACAAACCAATGATTCTACTTGTAATAATGACCTTCCTTTTGATTACTTGTTGCTTGGTCATTGTAGAGAAACTTCGTACTGGTCTTTGCTAGAGAATCCGCCAAAAGGTTTTGGAAAATATTTCGTCTTTGATTCCATTTTCTTTACTTTAATCAAATTTTTCAAAAGCCTACCAGATTTTTATTAGTTTATTCATTCTTTTGTGCAGTTTTTTCCTCTGTACAAGACTGGATTCTATGGATGAGATCACGTATTCACATGTGAAGCTCGCGTGAGTTTTGTTTAAAGTTATATATATTCAGAGACTCTGACTTTAGCAACTTCATCTTCATGTGATGTTTGCTTCTCCTTGGTGTTAAGTTCCTTTGTCCTTGTTTTTTCTTTCTCTTTTATCTGACAATGGCTCAAACAGGTGCAGATGATGATGAAAAGGCACAGTCTTTGCAACCTGAGTTTGCTTCTAGAAATGGTGTTGGCGATGACAAGGAGGAGCTTCGGTCGCAGTGGGCTACAGTTGAGAGATTAAAAAAAAAAGGATTCTACTGTTCTTTTTCAGAGAAGAGATGAAGCTTGGGATAAAGTGAGAGTCATTGATGTTACCAATCTTGAAGCTGCTGAGAGACATTTGTCGATTGAAAATCTTGTCAAACAAATCCAGGCTGATAACCTCCATTTACTCAGAAAGATAAGGAAGAGAATCGATGAGTAAGCCTTGTAATAGTTATCTGTGTATGTTCCTGTTTATATCACAACCTTCTAATCTGTAGTAACGCATATAACTGTAGGGTTGGTATAGAGTTACCAATGGTGGAAGTGAGGTTCAGTGACCTTTCTGTTGAAGCGGAATGTGAAGTAGTTCATGGAAAGCCTATCCCAACTCTTTGGAATACTATCAAGGGCATACTATCTGTAAGTTCCATTAAATGTGTCTGCTACATCCATCTGGAAATAGAGGACTGTTTCCGTTTCCATGTTTTTAAAAATTGATTTTTTATAGAGGAAGATGGTGAGAAGAGCTGTGGGAATCTATTGAAGTTTTTTGGATGTCCGCTTTTGATTGAAAGGCACTTGCCAGCTACAAGGAACTTGAGGAAGAGACATAAGACATAAGAAGAGAATGGTGAGTTCAAGATGTTTGTTCTATTTCCACCTGCAATATTTGGAGCTTGTTTTTGGTCATTCAGAATACATTAATCATACACTTGAAGCTAACAGGTAATAGAGATGAGCAAAGTTCGTATCTCGTTGTGAAAAATCGTGTTCATAGAAGAAGGAGAGTGATTCGTGGCAGCCAAGGAGTCATTTTGTGGAGTATGGAGTTATTGATTCAAAAGGCAATGTTGTTGACGAGGTACACATTCAAAAGCTCTCAACTTTTTCAATTTTTATTGACTCTTATCATAAAAAGCTTCAGACTTTGTGATATAGAATCTGAGTCTGCTTATTAGGTTTTAGCTGTGCTTATGTTGGCTCCTCAGTCATACACAAGGGAAGATGTAATGAGCTTCAATGTCACGGTAGCGAAGTTTGTCTATGGCGTGTTTTGAGAGCATGTTTTGACGCTGGAGCAAGATTAACAGAACCAGGTGAGAAAGATGTATTGCTTATTCGGTTTTGATGTGTGACTTTCTTATGTGAGTTTTGGGTGCTATAGATTCTGAATCCTCCTTTTTTTATTTTTAAACAGGAGAGTTTACACTTCGTGCGTTTCTAAATGGAGGTTTAGACCTTACACAAGCTGAGAATATTGAGAAGCTTATCTCATCTAAGTCTTCTGCTGCTGCAGATGTCGCTTTAGAAGGGATTCATGCATAACATCTTTACTCCTTGTGATGTAATTATATATTTGATGATTGTTATGTAACTAACTACAAGTGTTGTTCTTCTTCTTACTTTTAGGTTTTATTTTGTAACATTTAACCTTAATGTGGAGGTTTATTTTTCTTTACTTCTACCTCCGTTCTACAATTAGTATGTTAATAACTGCCCCCAGGAGCTCAGGTGTAACAGTCAGACCAGAAGAATCATCTTCTCTTAACAGTATCCTCAGGTGTTTCAAGGAAGAAGTTCTTATCACATAGAGTGAACTAGATGACTTTGGGAGTTCTTGGTCAGAGCTGGTGTGGTTAGGGAAGAACTATCTGTAGATTCTACATGCTAGTGTGGTTGTTCAGCTTTGCAACTGTGGTCAAGTTTATAAGGATTTATAAATTAGCTATAAACATTTATAAAGGCTTATAAATTATTTATAAGAGTTTTCAATCATCTAAAATATTTTACTATGCTATAAATGTTTATACATCATTTTGTATTGATTTAAAAAGCCATTATAACTATTTAAAATGAGTCTTATAAATATTTTATAAGCTTTTAAAATAATGTTATAATTTATAAAGTCTTATAAAAAACTAATAATAATTTACAAATGATTTTATAAATATTTATAAATGATCTATAAACCATTATAAGTGATTTAGAAACCATTATAAATCATTTATAAACCCTTATAAATGATTTATAAACTCTTATAAATGATTTACAAGCCTTTATAAAATGTTTTAAGACTTTATAGTTGAATTATCTTTAGAATTTCTACAAATCCTTATAAATAATTTTAGAAACCCTTATAAATCTTAATTAAACCCGTATAAACATTTAACAAACCCTTATAAAACCTTTATTAAACTTAATGTACACTTACAAAGACTTTAAAATTTTTTTTAGAATTTATAAAGCCTTATAGAAAACTAATAATAATTTATAAATGATATATAAACCATTATAAATGACTTATAAACCATTATAAATAATTTATAAACCATTATAAATAATTCATAAACTAATTACAAATGATTTAATAACTATTTATAACACTTTAAGATTATTTTATAAACACTTTAGATCATTTAATGTTTATTAATGTTATAAATTCACTTTTATTTCTTATTAAATAATTTATAATTGATTTTATACTCTTATAAACATTTTAATGGTTTATAAGCCTTTATATATAATTTTGTATATTCTTATACGTAATTTCTAAACCTTTATATGTAGTTTATATTTATTCTTATAGATGTTTTATAAACCCTTATAAATGATTTATAAGCCTTTATAAAATGTTTTAAGATTTTATAATTGAATTACCTTTAGAATTTCTACAAATCCTTATAAATGGTTGAATCAACATCATTTATAGTTCTTCCTACAACTTAATTTTGTACTAATTCTCAATAGTTTCTTGCAAAGTTTTGACTTATGATGAGACACTCCAAGACTGTAACTTAAGAGTCTACTCCATACAAACTAAAACAGCACACAGCACAAGAAATAGATATAAAACATGTGATTTATCATATCATCTACAAGGGTCTGGACAAACATCATTTTCTGGCTATGTAGTAGTAGTAGTCCCTGTCTCAGGAGCAGCTTCAGGCTTTTCACCAGGTGTATCAGCAGGTGAAGACGAAGACACTTTCTTGTTTGCATTATCTCTAAGATTATCGTTCACAATTGTTTCCTCTTGCTGCTCATTTACCGAATCTTTATCAGATCAAACAAATTGTTACACAAGATTCACATTCATACATTGATAAAAAAACTAACCAACAATATACTGCAATCTATGGCAAAGCTATTGTATGAAGCTAATGCATGTGAGGTATTACTGATGGTTTGATCTCAAGGGTGTAGCCAAGCTGATCCATTAATCCTTGTGAGACGTCAGCGAGTTTCAAAGGCTTTGTCTCTGGAACAACTGTGCTGAAAAGAAGAATCAGTGAGTCTCTAATGATGAAAGAAAGTATTAAAGTTCACAAAGTGACTCCCTTGTGTTGATGATGCATTTGTTGATTCGTTTATGTTCATGACTTGTGAATGAGACAAATCATTCGTCTCTCTTGTTTTCACAAGCTGTGAACCGCTCGCTTCAACAACAATGCCATCCCACAGGTCCGTGCCATTCACTGGTGTGTTCATTATTACTTCTTCATCTTTCATCACCATTGCAGGAGTATTTTGATATGCCATTGAGGGCTTATTATAGAAGAAATAAGAAGAAGAGAAGTGAAGATAAAGAACAGAGGAATGTAGTGACAGAGGAATTGGCGGGAGAAGCTGAGCTGGCATCTTTGACTGCTATAGTTGACTAGGCCGTTAGGCGGTTAGGAGGATTGTAAATGGACCTTGAGTATATATAACAAGGGCCATTAGATATTTTCTTTTATCCAGAAATTTGAGAGTTTGTTACTCAACTTGTGAGTATCAGGCATTGGACTTGCAAGCTTATACGCTTGGGTTCTTTGTAATTCCTTTGATAGAGATCAATAAAGTGTTTCGTTCTTATCAAATTGGTGCGGTGAAGCTCCGAGATCGAACAATCGCGAGTGATGACGAGTCATAAACAATCTACGGCGGAGAATCGTCCAAATCAGCCGATGACGATAGAGACGATGTCCAAGACGCTAGTCTCGTCGATTACAGCTCAGGTTGAGTTGGAGAAGCGCACGGAAGCACGATTGGATTCGCTCGAGGCGAAGATCGATTCGCAATTAGCGACGATGTTTGACATGATGAAGAAAGGATTTGCGAAGTTCGGAGGGGATATCGAAAACGCTAACCCTAATCTTGCGGCAAATCAGGTACATAACTCTGACTGGGAACCTGACCGTAGTTTTAGGATGGAGGAACCGTTAGATCGTCGGATTCTTGGTAGTAGAGATAAAATGTTGAAGAGAGTTGAGCTTCCTGTGTTCGATGGTACGGATACGTTCGGATGGTTTGCGTTAGCTGAGAGGTTTTTCAGGATTGCTGGTTATGATGAACAGTTGAAGATGGAAGTAGTTTCGGTGAGCTTATCTGGTGATGTTCTTAGTTGGTTCAACAGTGAAGTTCATCGTCGTCCTTTCAGTGGTTGGAAGAACTTCAAAGAGAGACTGGTTTCGAGGTTTAGTAAAGAGAAACTCAGGGATCCGAGTCAGCCTTTCTTTGCTATCAAACAGAATGGTACAGTAGCAGAGTACATTCATCGCTTTGAAGATCTGTCAACTCAAGTGTCAGGTTTAACTGATAGTCAGTTAGAGGGGATTTTCATGAATGGTCTTACACCAGAGATGCGTGAGGTGGTTAATGTGTAAACCGGTGGATTTACCTGAGATGATAGCCACTGCGTATCAAATGGAGTCGAGTTCGATGCATAGCGTGGTCTGTAAAGAGATGCAAATCGCTAACAAAGCTTCTCAAAGTCAAAACCATACTAAACCACAAGCTAGTAATTCAACTAGTTGGAAGCTGAAGACAGTGGCTAGCGTTCCTCTTCAGAGTCAGCCACGACAAGTGGGACATACTGGAGCTCAGAAACCCCAGCTTAAACTCACTCAGGCGGAAATTGATGAGAAGAAGAGACTTAAACAATGTTTTAAGTGTGACGCAAACTGGTCAAGAAGACATGATTGTCCCAATAAAGACTTACAAATTGTGACAGTGTTTAATGGATTGGAAGTGCTGGTTTTAGATCAAGGAGGAGAGGAGAGTGAGGATGAGCAGGGTGGTGTCAATGGAGAATTGATGCAGCTATCCTTCAATTCGTTTATGGGGGTTTCTTCTCTGACTACGACCAAACTTAAAGGAGTGGTTAAAAAGAGTGAGATTGTGGTTATGTTGGATAGTGGAGCAACACACAATTTTATTTCTCCTGCAGCAGTACAGAGAGCAAAACTCAAAGTCACTTCTGACGATGCTTTAGAGATCTCGTTGGGTACTGGAGTGGTGGTTTCGGGAACTGGTATTTGTAAGAATGTGTTGATTAAGCTGAATGATATGGAGTTTACTGCTGGCTTCATTGTGTTAGATTTGGGTTCTGCTGATGTGATTTTGGGGATTCAATGGTTGAGTACTCTTGGGAAATGTACGATGGATTGGGAGAATCATGTGATGTCTTTCTCTTACAAGGGCCGCCAAATCACATTACAGGGAGATTCTTCATTGCATTCTCGGAAGTTGTCCTTAAAATCTCTCCAAACAGAAGTAGAAGGAAAACGTCTGCGAAAGTTGGCAGCCTCCGAAGTTGTGGAACGAGTTCCTGTCGAGATTGAGACTTTATTAACACAGTATGAGACGGTCTTTGATAAACCAACAGACCTTCCTCCGAGTCGTGGTAGAGAACATGCTATCAACCTGCATCATGGCTCTGGTCCCATTAGCGTGAGGCCATACCGTTACCCTCATGCTCATAAAGAAGCTATGGAGCAGTTGGTAAAAGAGATGCTGGATGCTGGTTACATACGACCTAGCCATAGTCCATATTCGAGCCCTGTGTTGCTGGTTAAGAAGAAGGATAAGTCTTGGAGATTTTGTGTAGACTATCGAGCAGTTAACCGTGCAACAATTCCTGACAAGTACCCCATTCCAATGATAGATCAATTATTGGATGAGTTACATGGAGCACAATTTTTCACAAAACTCGACTTGAGATCTGGTTATCACCAAATCCGAATGAAGGAAGCAGACATTGAGAAAACAGCATTTCGAACGCATGATGGTCATTATGAATTTGTAGTCATGCCGTTCGGCTTGACCAACGCACCTGCTACTTTTCAGGCTTTGATGAACGAGATATTCAAGCCCTTTCTTCGGAAATTTGTGTTGGTCTTCTTTGATGATATACTGGTGTACAGTAAAACTATTGAAGAGCATGTTGTACATGTAGAAAAGGTGTTGAAAGTGTTGTCTGATCAGAAGCTGTTTGCTAACAGAAAGAAGTGTACCTTTGGACAGAGGAAAGTCGAGTATTTGGGCCATGTCATTTCAGCAAAAGGGGTATCTACTGATCCTTTGAAGATTGCAGCTGTTGTGAAGTGGCCTATTCCAAAAACTGTAAAGGAGTTGAGAGGCTTTCTCGGACTGACAGGGTATTATAGAAGATTCGTACACTATTATGGTCTTCTTGCCAAACCACTGACAGAACTTTTGAAGACAGAGCAGTTTGACTGGTCAGAACAGGCACAAACAGCTTTTGAGAAGTTGAAAGTGGCGATGGTTACAACTCCGGTTTTGGCCTTACCTGACTTTACGAAGGAGTTTATTGTTGAATCAGATGCCTCAGGGTATGGATTAGGTGCCGTGTTGATGCAGGATAAACATCCTATTGCTTATTTTAGTCATGCTTTGACTGAGAAGGAGCAGCTTAAACCCATTTACGAAAGAGAATTGATGGCTATCGTGCTTTCAATCCAAAAGTGGAAGCATTATCTTCTTGGAAGAAGGTTCTTAGTTCGTACAGACCAGCAGAGTTTGAAGCACTTGTTGGAGCAACGTGAGGTCACTTTGGATTACCAACGATGGCTAACACGTATTTTGGGGTATGAGTTCGAGATTGAGTACAAGGTGGGAGCTGAGAACAAGGTTGCAGATGGGTTGTCTCGGATTGTTTATCCTTCGACTGGTGAGTCTACTAAGCTGTTCTTATCCTTGACGGTGCCGTCATCGTTGCAGTTGCAGGATCTGTTTAAAGAAATTGAGAACAGTGATGAGATTCAATCCTTGTTGTCAAGAGTAGTAGCTGGTGAGAGTGTTAAACCGGGTTATACAGTAGTAGAAGGACGTCTGTTCTATAAACAACGTCTAGTGATCCCCGGTAGCTCTAAGTTCATTCCGTTGTTACTCCAGGAGTGTCATGATAGTGTGATGGGTGGCCATTCTGGCATTCTTAAAACTTTGAAGAGAATTCAGAATCAGTTTCATTGGAAGGGAATGAGAAAGATGGTGCAGGCTTATGTGGCTGGTTGTACTACTTGTCAGACGCATAAGTACACGACACTTTCACCTGCAGGGTTGCTACAGCCAATTCCTATTCCTTCTCGCATTTGGGAGGACATATCAATGGACTTTATTGAGGGATTGCCGAAGTCCAATGGAATAAATGTTATAATGGTAATTGTGGATCGTTTGAGCAAGTATTGCCATTTCATTGGATTAAAGCACCCATTTACAGCTATAGAGGTAGCTCAGAAGTTTACTCAAGAGATTGTACGTCTTCATGGCTATCCTAAGTCCATCATCTCGGACAGGGATAAGATTTTTTTGAGTAACTTCTGGAAGGAGTGTTTTCGACTGTCGGGGACTCAGTTGAGGTTTAGTACTGCTTTTCATCCCCAATCCGATGGACAGACGGAAGTTACAAATAGGTGCTTAGAAACATACTTGAGATGCTTTTCGTCTGTACATCCGAAGACATGGTTCAAGTTCCTGGGATGGGCTGAGTTTTGGTTTAATACTTCCTTTCATACGTCTCTGCAGTGCTCTCCGTTTAAACTTGTGTACGGTAGAGATCCACCAACATTGCTACAGTATGAGAAAGGTGAAACTCAGAACTTTGAATTGGAGAAGATGTTGTTGGAGAGAGATGCCATTTTGAGTGATGTGAAAGAACATTTACTGCGGGCTCAGGCAGTGATGAAAAGTAAAGCGGATAAACATCGACGTGATCTAACCTTCGAGGTGGGAATGAAAGTATATTTGAAGCTGAGACCTTATAGACAGCACTCGGTGAGCCGCAGATTTTGCCAGAAGTTAGCAGCTCGCTACTATGGTCCTTATGAAGTGCTTGAGCGTATCGGTGCGGTTGCTTACCGTTTAAAGTTACCAGAAAGTTCAAAAATTCATCCCGTTTTCCATATTTCGCAACTTAAACCAGTGATAGGGAAGGATCACAGGGTTACAATGTTGCCGGAGGTTTTGTCTACGGATAATGAGTTGGTGGTGATGCCCGAAGAGATTGTCCATCATCGTTATGATGATCAGGGATTTTTGGAGGTGTTGGTTCGTTGGAGAGGGTTACCGGACCATGAGAACTCTTGGATGCGTGTGACGGAGTTAAAGGATCAGTTTCCCACTTTTCCACTTGAGGGCAAGTTGGTGCTTGAAAAGGGGGGTATTGATATGCCATTGAGGGCTTATTATAGAAGAAATAAGAAGAAGAGAAGTGAAGATAAAGAACAGAGGAATGTAGTGACAGAGGAATTGGCGGGAGAAGCTGAGCTGGCATCTTTGACTGCTATAGTTGACTAGGCCGTTAGGCGGTTAGAAGGATTGTAAATGGACCTTGAGTATATATAACAAGGGCCATTAGATATTTTCTTTTATCCAGAAATTTGAGAGTTTGTTACTCAACTTGTGAGTATCAGGCATTGGACTTGCAAGCTTATACGCTTGGGTTCTTTGTAATTCCTTTGATAGAGATCAATAAAGTGTTTCGTTCTTATCATATTTGTGTTGTCTTGTGAACTAAAGAACTCTGAGTCAATTGCAGATTCCATTTGTGATGATGCATTTGTTGTCTCTGCACGTCGGATCTCGAGTTTTGGTCTTTTACGGCTGGCCTGGACATCTGAGTTGAAGATGCTTTTGCTACTATTCTCTTGTGCTATTTCTGCAACACTACGACGAGATATTGAGAACCATTTTCTAACGTCATGCTTCCACGTTTTCCATTCTGACAACACCATTAGTTGCATCTGAGGATCAGAAATGGATTTGACTTGGTTCCACTGGATACAATTGTCAAATTCCTAAACACAACCAGATAAAGTTAGATTTTGGTAAGAAAGAAAAAAAAAACGCCTGAACAATATACACTATCAGACATTACCTCTTTCAGCAACTCAATGCTCTCGGCGTTCACTGCTTCATTAGATTTTTGTACCCATGTAGGATACGAGCTTTATAGCCAGTTTGGATCAATGTATCGTTGCAATATCATCTGAACAACATAACACAAAGCCAAGACATGATTACAGAGCTGAACATTGTTCAGGCGCCTTATAGAGGATAACTGTTTAGATGCTTTTTAAAATAAAAAAAAAATTGGTTTGAAAAAATCAACAGAATCCCAACCTCCTTTTGACACTAAACCGAGTTGGAGTGTTGTTAGCAGTGGGTTTCCTTTGAGAAGCTCTTCTTATTTGGATCAGATTCAGTGTAGCTGCAACGAACCCCAACAAATAATCATCATCACACTATTATCCATAATCCACCAAAAAAGCATAGACAAGGATTGCATAAACTACAAAATGGATATCTTCCAGAAAAGGGGATCTTAGCCTTAGTGGCATTCTGTTTCAGCTTTTCAAAAACACCGGCTTTGAAAGTATCCGAACAGATTGAAATCAAAGTTTGGGGACTAACAAGGGAGAAAGAGAGGATAATCGGCGAAAAGAAACACAGGAGGCGGAGTCAATCCTCTCCCCGTAGTCTCCACCTGCGGTTGTGCTGTGATGGTTTACTCCACTGTTCGAGATCTAAGTCATCAACAAAAGGATGCGTGTCGTCGCCGTCGAATCAGAGAGCTCGTCACTGTCGACTTAGAGAGCTAGTCACCGTCGACTCAGAGAGCTCGTCACCGTCGACTCTGAGAACTCGTCACCGGATGCCTCGTCGGGGAGGCGCAGTATCTATTTCACGAGAGAGAAGAAATCTTAGATTAGGGTCAACTAAGTCTTTTAACATTAATGAATGTAGGTATTTATGAAATTGTCCTCCCTTTAGAGGTAAAGTTGAATTGTGGTACTACCAAATGTGTAAAATTGAAATTCTCCCATTATTTTAATAGAGTAGATGTAGGCAGTGAGCGAGAAAGTCTCAGCTTCCGTTGACGAAGACGGTGTTAGCTGTTCGCATAAATATATACACATAAATATAGGAGTACATATGTATACATAGTTTACACACATCTCTCTGCCTCTGTGTCGAAGCAGTGTCTTATTTGGTCAAATGATACCAATCTGAAACAAAAGAAAAGAAAAAACAAAACCCAATCTTGCGTACACACATCTCCTCCTCCATCTCTTTCTCTCTTCCACATCGCTTAGTCTGAATTCGAATTGGGTTTTCATTTTTTCTTACTCAAAGTTGGTTTATTTCCTCTTTTTGGATAGAGTTTAACATCAGATTCTTGGTTTCAAGTTGCCCGGAAAAATGAAGTTGTGTGTGCTATGGTTGAATTAGGGTTTCTACAATACTAAAGAGTTGATTCTCATGGGTTGCATAATCTCTAAGAAGAAGTCTCCGAAGAGAAACCATCCACAACCATCGGAGAAGCGTTCTTCTTCTAGGATTGATGATTCGAGCCAGAGTAAAGAAGAGCAACAAGAGGGATCGAAGTTCAGTTCAAGTAGGTTGTCTCCGGAGATTGCAGAGATTGGTGATACTGATGATGAAGATGAAGATAAGGAACTAAAGAGAGAGCCTAGTAGTGTCGTTGTTGCAGAGGTAGTTTCGGGATGGCCTGCTTGGCTAGTCTCAGTGGCTGGTGAAGCACTTGTGGGTTGGACTCCACGACGTGCTAGCACCTTTGAGAAACTGGAAAAAGTAAGTAGTATACTACTGTGTGGCTCGTTTCGATGATTGAACTTGTTTTTAATGAATGTTGTTTACTTCTTTTGTGTAGATTGGGCAAGGTACGTATAGCAGTGTATACAAGGCTCGTGATCTTTTGAATAACAAGATTGTTGCGCTTAAAAGAGTCCGGTTTGATCTTAGCGATTTGGAGAGTGTTAAGTTTATGGCTAGAGAGATCATTGTAATGAGAAAGCTTGATCATCCTAATGTACTTAAGTTAGAGGGCTTGATCACTGCCTCTGCTTCATCTTCTCTTTACTTGGTTTTCGAGTATATGGATCATGATCTCCTTGGACTTGCTTCCATCCCCGGTATCAAGTTCTCTGAGCCTCAGGTGAAATGTTACATGAAACAACTTCTAAGCGGACTTCATCACTGTCACACTCGCGGTGTTCTGCATCGTGATATTAAGGGCTCGAACCTACTGATTGACAGTAACGGGGTTTTGAAGATAGCAGATTTCGGGTTAGCAACGTTTTTTGATCCACAGAAGCATGTTCCGCTGACTAGCCGTGTTGTGACTCTTTGGTATCGACCACCAGAGCTTCTGCTTGGAGCTTGTCATTATGGTGTTGGTGTTGATTTGTGGAGCACAGGCTGTATCTTAGGCGAGTTATATTCAGGGAAACCCATCTTGCCGGGGAAAACCGAGGTATTTTCTTCACTCATTCCATGAGGTAAAAAAAAGGGCTGGTTAATATATATATATAATAACTGAAGTATTTTGTAGGTGGAGCAACTGCATAAAATCTTCAAGCTGTGTGGTTCACCAACAGAAGATTACTGGAGGAAGCTGAAGCTACCACCTTCCGCTGCGTTTAGACCCGCGCTTCCTTATGGAAGACGTGTAGCACAGATGTTTAAGGACTTACCTACGAATGTGCTTTCGCTTTTGGAGGCTTTACTATCTATAGATCCTGACCGGAGAGGCTCTGCAGCTAAGGCTCTTGAGAGTGAGGTGCTGTTTTAACGCTATGTTTTATTGTGCTTTCACCACTTTTGTGATCATTCAACTATATTGTGATTTGATTAACACATAGTTGTTATGGAGCAGTACTTCAAAACAGAGCCGTTTGCTTGTAATCCATCTTCTCTACCAAAATATCCTCCAAGCAAAGAGATTGATGCTAAAATCCGCGACGATGCCAAGAGGCAAGAGAATAATGAAAGACAAGAAGACTCTCAGACCAGACAATCACATGAAAGAAAACTTATCCCACCACTCAAAGCTAATCCATCACTCACATCGGCTATGGAGGTAACAGATTATTGGTTTGATCTGCTATGGTTTGGTGATGCCTCTGATCCATCAGAATGTTAACTAAACAAACAAAACATACCTCTTGGCCAATACAGAACCCTTATCTAAGAACCTGTGTTCCTGGTCATTCGACGAAACAAATGCAGATTACAAAGGACATGACCAGCAACAATCCAACGGGTGGAAGAGTCTCTCACTCGGGTCCGATGATGAAAAACCGGAATCACAGTCAGTTTACATACATGAAGGACAATGCAGCCCCTTCAACCAGGGCTAACTTAGCAGGACAAAGCGGTTCGCGTGTTGACACAATTGGCTCGTATCAAACAATCATGGATCAGCAAAGGATGAATTTGAGAGCATTCAACAGAGCTGACACTATGGATAATAGTAACAGGCAAATCAGAAACCCAAATGACCCATCTTGGGTAAGTATTCTTTGAGATTCCTTTGTTCCTTTCTTTTACAAACAAGAAACTGTCCTTTACTTTACATAGTGTGTGGTTTACATCTCAATCTTTGTGTGATTTACATATAGTATGATGCTGGGGATAACAAGATGTACATGTCGGGTCCATTGCTGGCTCAGCCAAGTAAAGTGGATCAGATGCTGGAAGAACACGACCGGCAGCTCCAGGAATTCACCAGACAGAAAGCAAAAAAATCCAGAAGCTGATAGCATAATGTTCGGAATGATTTTGCTTATTTTTCCGGGAAAAGAAAAAAAAATGTAATAGAGATTTAAGAGATTGTTGGCTTTATAAAATAAAAGCTCAGCTATGTGATTATATGGAACATGTATACAGACTCATGACAGCGTTTGATCTTTGTGTACATACATGTATATATACATTTCTTCATATATTATAGATATGTGTACATAGAGTCATACATACATTTATGTGTTTTAAGTCCGGCTACTGAAGAAAACATTGTTTGTTCTTCTGCCAACGAATAAAATCCATATAATCAGAGGCAATACAAACTTATACTATACTTCTGTTAAAAGAAACGGACACGGCGCTAGACACCACTCATCTGTCCTGCTTTATACTAAATTGGTCTATAAACCGGATACCTATATTTTAAGAATATTTGCATTCCATATACACACAAAACCTCATATTTCTATACCATATTTCCCTTTTCTCTCTCTTTTCCTTCCATTACTATTTCCCCCCCCCCCCCCAAAATAAGGTAAATGCCTAAATACATTCTTCTTCTAGTATATTGAGCTAAATTACTCAAATTTTAATCCGTCTAGCCGCCTAATCTTTTTTTTTTAATTTTTAGTTTTATTTTTAATAATATTTTTATCTATTTATTTGATCTAAAATTTGATAAATATATTTATATTCATAATTTTGATGATATTACAGCATATAAAATTTATTATATTCTTTTTCTGCATTTATACAGTTCTAAACATATATAAATGTTACACAATTAATGATTAAAATATTTTATAATATATTAAACAATCTAAAAATTCCACCACGAATATTTTTTGATTAATCTATGATTTTCTTTCTAAGCACTAGGTCCAATCCAATTGTCGGACTAGCGCCTAACGCATTTCCGAACAGAGTATTACTCTCTTCAGTCAAACTGCATATTGTTGGCATGATGCAGGAAATAATAAATTGATTTATGTTTTAAGTTTGAAATTTAGACTTCTATATTATTAAAAGAGAAGTACAATATGAACTCACCCTTCAAATTTAACACATATTTACAAGTCAATACGACTGAAGTAATTAAGAAATCTAACTTTAAAATTATCTTTTCTAATTTAATAAATTATTTTCTAAATCAATCTTAAACTAAAAAAATTATTTAATTACATTTTAATTCAACTGAGAAACTACATTATCTTAACTTTTATCATTAGTTATCTTTTGTCATATTAAACAACCATTAAAATATATCTAAATTGATATTCAAACTAACTAATGTTAAAACATAAATTTAAAATAACTAATAATAAACATGAAAAACAATTAATACTATATTGATTAAGTAAACAACCATTAAATTATGACAAAAATCAATTTAGATATATTCATGTTATATTATGAATAAGTAATTAATAAACATGGCAAAAAATCAGAAATCCATCCAAATTATTTTACAAAATGTCATATTAAACAATTATTTAATACATATGAATCTTTTATATATATATATATATATATATATATATATACATATCACTTATAAAAAATAAAACACAAATACCCACGCGTTTTTACGGATCATGATGATCTAGTCTAAACTATTAAAATTGAAATACAATTAGTACTAAACCCTAAGTTTTCCTTAATAATTACCATCTAATGCCACTGGTCTTAAAACACAGTCATTTTATTTCTCGTGTGTTATCGATGTTCTCTCGGATCGAAATGTAAGCTCCACTTTTTCTTTTTGATCTTGCTGCATGTTATTCGGGTCGCTATATCCCCAAATTTTTATTCTTAATTCTTCAATAGGAGATGGAAACTCTCTACGACAAATACACCACCCTCAAGGTTTGCTTTCTGATTTTAATTTCTAGGGTTGCGATTTTTTAAAATTTTCATTTCGATTTTGTTTCTCTAGAAGAAAAAGTTTTCGGCATTGGATGAGGTTAATAGGGAACAAGAAGAGAATTTACTTGCCTTTGTTTCAAGTACCATTTGAGAAAGTCTCTTCCTTTTCTTCTCTGCTTCAACTTTCACTCTCATTACTTGCTTCTATGTCGTTAAGTTAGATTGCTAATTTGTTTGACAGTAGAGCATCAATGCCACTTAGAATCCCTAAGCTGTCTTGTATTCATTTGCAATTATATAACAATTCAGTTTTATTTTATTTTATGTTGTTTATTGCTTGCTGAACTCAAGTGTTTTTAAAAAAAATGTTCTTTTAGCATGTCCTTCTCTATTTTGCTTTGGTAGCCTCAGAGGCATTGACACAGCATTTGAGAAGTGAAAACCAGAATTTGGAGGAAATATGGAGAGATTGAGGAATGAGATAGCTGAATTAAGGTACGTACTACCCTATATTACTTTGTTAATCTCCTTTACCTGAACTTGCTTCTGGATTCTTGTGAAATTTAAAACCATGGCTGTCTTGGTCCACATATATACTAGGGACGAGAAGCGTCTGGAGTTTCAAATGTGTCTTGTGGAAGAAGAATGAAAGAGTAAGAAAAATGCATTTCATTAATGGAGAGTGTTCTTCAGCCTTTTTTTTATTTCTGCATCAAATGTTTTGTCCTTTTACTGACTGGCCATAAATGAATTTACAGACAAGGCACCTTACCAGAAAGTTGAGAAACTAAAAGAGCTGATCTCAGAGGGGGTTTCTGAAAGCTACAAAATCAAAGTGGAAGAACATGAAAGACTCCTGAATCTCCTCAAGTTACAACGAGAATCAGGACTCATGAGGAAGCATAGCAGGCAGACTGAGGATTTGGTGGAAACGGACACGGTATCACCTATGAGAAGCATGAGGAACATAGCAGGCAGACAAAGGATATCGTGGAAACGGACGTGGTATCACCTCATATTAGCATACATCACAAATCAACAACGGTAAAACAAATTGGCTTAAGCTGGAGCATCTTCTTTAAGTAAGTCATCAAAGTTTTCTTGCTTTTGTTTCAAGGAAACTCTCTTGGTTGCTCAACCACAATGTTCTAAAACAACTGACGAGGGATCAAGTAACTCTGCTGGTTGTCCATTTCAATCTCTTGGCGAACACTTGACATGAATGAAAATTTTCAACAACTAATAAAGATGAACGACTCTGCATTGTTGCCTCCCATCCATCAACTGGTAATTTCGTTTGGCACATGTTATATCATTGTATAGTTATCCGGGTTATTATCAAGTAAAAACATACACTTTAGATCATCAGCCACAAGAAAAACACCAACTTTGAATCTTTCTCCCTGGCTTTTGACCATGACAGGTTTATCATTTACTTTAACTTGGTAAATAACTCAGCTGGTGAAGAAACTCTGCTGTACAAGGCTGAGTCGCTGGGGACATTTGAAAGAGTTGCGCCCAAATGGATGAGAGATGTTATAAAGTTTAGCACAAGTATGAATTATGTCTTATTTGAAGGAGTCTCGAGTCATTAAGCCACAAGAGACTCTTACTAAACAATCTAATTAAATTTGACCCGCCTTAACCTTATATAACGCGAAAAAAACCGACGAACCTAAGATAGCGTGTTTCCATACCAAATATGCTTCAGTTAAAGTTGGTCTGCAGAATCAAAACCAAAAGATTAGATAAATACAAAATTCAGTTGATTACATTAAAAGATCAATTGTGTAAATACTATACCACATACAATAAGAATTCTATAAATTAATAATGTTGGAATTACAATATTTTATTAATTCATACTATTATTAATATACAGAAGTTCCTTTTTTTCTAAACTAAAAAATATATCTGATTTAATGTATATTAATTAAATTTTAGAAATTCATTATTCATATTTTTTTGGTTTATAAAAACTATGTTTCATAAAATTTAAAATGTAGTTTTTGATATAATTTTATTAAATCTCATCAAAATATATTAAATCTTAAAAAAGTATAAAGATAATTCTATTGTAAATATAAACAAACAATATAATAGTTTGTTTGTATTAATAAAATGTAAATACATATAATTTATTAATTTATAATTTTAATTTGACTATATATTTATAGGGGTGTCAAAATAGATCACATGACCCATGGGTTGACCCAATCCAAGTTAACATACTAATCTAAATGAACTGTTTATTTTTGATCCAATAAATTAATAAATTTACAGGTTAGTGGGTTAACAAGTTAATTGATTAACAGGTTAAATATATTTATTTGACTAGGTCAATCCTGACCCATTTTGCTAAAATATGTCTAGTTTATCGCTGTTTCTTTCTTAAAAAGGGAGCCCTCTTTAACATCAAGCTACACAAAACTCTTCCTCATCATCCCCCTCCTTTACAATTCCGAAATTAGGGTTTTGCTTAGGCACCTCCATTGCCTTTCACGTACTTTTTCTCTCTCTTATATTTACTTAGTTTTTTTAAAAACTATTTTCTTATTATTTTATTAGTTTGTTTCATATTATGAACCAGCCCAACTTGAGAGTGGTGAAATTTATTAATTTATGGTGTTTATTAATTTATAGAGTTTTTAATTCTAATTTATCATATATCGTGATTAAGAAAGCCTATTTTGAAAGCCTGTAATTTTTGTATGACTGTAATGATGTTGATGCACACATATATATATATGTTCCAATTTGTTTTTCAATTTATTCCAAATTTATACATAGTACAAATATAGATAAATAACAACTAAAGGAACTGAATAATCTAAAAAATTTATTATAACATGCAAACAATAAGAATGTTTATGTGTATACATGTTATTGTAATAAGGTAATTGTTATATATCTATAAGATTAATATATATATATATATATATATATATAAGCTGTAATAAGGTAGTTGTTAAATATGTTATTATATATTGAACCAAACTAATTTTTTTATATATATTCTAATGCAATCGACTGTAAATCATCTAATTATATGAATAGAACATTATTAAAAAATATTAAATCGACTTTATCTCATATACATATACATATAATCTATCCAACTATATTTGATCTATAATAAAAATAATGTTTCTGATAAAAGAAATAGTAATATTAACAATTTTGCATAAACTTATTATTAAAATCTATTTATTTAATAAAATTAAAGAATAAAAACATATTTATATTTATTCTAATTGGTTATATATATACAAGCAAACACAAACAAACTAGATGCTAGAAAAACATCTGTCTCAACGATGTGGATATAATAAAAGAATATTATTTTAAGTTTTTTAATCAGAATAGAATACACTATTAACAAAATCATACTTAAACAAATCTAAAACAAATAGGTAAATAACAATAAATATAAACTCTATAAATTAAAAATAAAAACTTGCACGGGCGTGCGGGTCAAAATATAGTATCAATTATATCTGAAGCCAGGGGTATTAGTATGCATATGCTGATACAAGTTCTTGTGTAAACTTCTTCGAGGAGTACTAGTATGCATATGCTGATACAAGTTCACGGATATGACCTTTCTCCATTAGTTCAGTAACTTGCTGTTGTAGTTCCTTGGTCTCCAAAGGGTTGGTTCTATAGGCTGGTTTGTTTGGCAGTGAAGCTCCTGGAATGAAATCAATTTGATGCTCTATTCCTCTGATTGGTGGCAATCCTTGTGGAGCTTCTTCTGGAAAAATGTCTTTGAATTCCTGCAAAAGCATTTGTATCTTGCTAGGAAGATCCTGCACTGTCTTTGTTATGTTTAAACATTCTTTAAATATAATCAGCAAGTGAGGTAAGGAACTTCCCTTGATTGAAGTAATAGATTGGCAGGCTGTTTGGCTTTTGTTTTTGATGGAGTTTTGTTCTGTTTCATGGCTAGCTGATCGAGATGAACTTCTTGTGGTGTCGAAGGAACCATAACGGTCTTCTTCCCATTGAAATCAAACGAATATCTATTGGTGAATCCATCATGAATTGCTCTTCTATCTGATTGCCAAGGTCTTCCAAGCAGAATATGTCCAGCATCCATTGGCAATACATCACACAGTATTTCATCTTCATACTTCCCAATGGACAATGGAACCTTGACTTGATTCTTTACTTCAAGCTCACCCTCATCATTAAGCCATTGCAACTTGTAGGCTACTGGTCGTTTCATCATCTTCAAACCAAGTTTCTCTACCATTGTTTCACTTGCAACATTGGTACAGCTCCCTCCATCTATGACTAAGCTGCAGACTTTTCCTTGAACAACACATTGAGTATGAAACAGATTCTCTCTTTGCTCATCTCCAACAGTCTTGGTTTGCAGGTTTAGTGTTCTTCTTGTGAAAAGTAACTCTCCACGAGCTGGCATTTCCACTCTTGCTTCCTCAGACTCAGAATGCTCCTCCTCTTCTGATTCAATCTCTCCATTTTCTCTAATGAATATTACTCTTTTGTTGGAGCAACTACTAGCATAGTGACCATAACCTTTACACTTGTAGCACTGTATGTCACGGGTTTTGGATGCAGTTGCTACTTCTTTCCCCTTAATACTCTGTTCTTCCACTTTAGGCTTGGAGAATGGCTTGGATTCTCTGGTCTTTTCGTCCTTCTGGTAGTGTGGCTTGCTGGTTCCATAGGTAGACTTGTAACTCCTTCGTTTCAGCTGTTGTTCAAACATGATTGCTTTGTGTAGAAGTTCCTCCATTTCTACATAGTGTTGAACTTCTAGCCTGTGTAGAATATCACGGTTTAATCCTCCCATGAACCTGGCCATGGTTATTTCTCGGTCTTCTTGTATATCAGCTCTCAGCATTAAAGTCTCCCTTTCTTTGTAGTATTCTTCAACTGATCTACTTCCTTGTGACAGTGTTCTCAGCTTGAAATGCAGTTCCCTGTGGTAATGGCTTGGTACAAATCTCTTCCTCATGATTATCTTCATCTGGTTCCAGGTTTCAACAGGGAGATCTCCTGCTCTTCTTCTTGCTGTAACAAGGTTATCCCACCAACTTAGAGCGTACTCTTTGAACTCAGTAGGCGCAAGCTTAAGTTTGTATTCTTGAGTGTAATCTCTGCAGTTGAACACAATTTCAATCTTCTTTTCCCACTCCAGATATTCTTCTGGATCACCAGTACCTTTACACTCAGGAATCTTCAGTTTCAAACCTCCCAAAGGATCACCGGTTTGTGGTCTTTCTTCTCTTTCATGCCTTCTTCTTCTGGTGCCACTGGCTCTGTTGAATTGACTATAATAGCTTTCTGTGGCAGACTGGTTTGGACTTCTTCTAGATCTCTCACGTTCTGAATGGACTACCTCAGCTCTGAAGTTTTCTAGTTTCTGATCCATCAAGGCAGACATCTGTGCAGTTAAGGCTTCCAACAGAAGTTTATCCATCCCTTGATTTGGTGTATTGGTTTCACCCATGGTTCCTTCAGCAAGAACCCTAAATTCTTTTCTGATGATGGAGATCAGCTATGATACCACTTAATATGATCCTAGCTGAGAGGATCACGTCCCTGAATGCTCTCGAACGATTGTGATGATGAAACAAGTAAAGGATTGAGTTGATACTTCTAAGAGATGCGGAAAGGCCCTTAGACTATCTTAGATTTGCTTGAAGATGCATATTCGAAATCAGAACATAAACAAGATAAACAATGATCAAACAGGATTCAGAGAATTCTTGGGTTTTTAGAAAAGAGTTTGATGATTTTATTGATCATTTTCGTCCATAATATATAGAGAAGAAGACTGTACATGCACAGCTTCTTGGAAACACACAAAACAATTAAAACAAAGACTGAGTTTAAATTTGAAAATAAGAAAAGGCTCCTAAGAGAGTTCTGAACGAAAATAGGATAGAAATGGGCTAGAAATGGGCTTAGCTTCATCAAGAGGCTTTTGTATGAGTGTTGTGTCCAAGCCTCATTAAAAACCTAAGTTCAGAAAATCCAAATGGGACAAAACCAAACCAAGGAAAAGAATGCAAGTCACCACACCTCTCTTGATGAATGTCTTAGATGGCTTGAATCACAACCAGTGTGGTTGGATAAGCACAATCTAGACTGCCCTGGATAATGTGTAATAGTTGGTTAAGAGCTTGTTGGAATCTTGCTTTCTTGGATCTTGTCATGGGACCAAGTGGCACGTCTAGGTCCTTGT